TAGGACTCAGAGATTGAATGACTGTGAGGTAATGAGGGGCTCATTACCTAAAGGCTTAGAGCCTTTAGGACTAGGGAGAATGCTGTTGACATGGGGAAGATGTCTGTCTGTTTTAGGAGCGATATGAGGCATGGTGGTCAACAGGAATTTGGGGTAAGGGTGAAAACCTAGACGTCAAGGAATCAAGATATTTGATCAAAAGTCTTTTTTTTTTCCTTATTCTTTTCTTCTTCTGTTGTCCTGGCCACCCACTTCTGCTCTGCCCTACCCCAGCCAGGTGCTTCCACCAGCAGGAGACAGACAGGTGTACACAGGAGAGAAACATGCTCCTTTCGCATTGGCACAGCACGTTAACCACCCACAATGACCCAAGGAGTGGGGAGAGTTATAAGGGTGCTGGCGGCCTTTATGACAGGTTGTTTTAAAGGCAGGGAGCAGGGAGAAAGGTGTGACCCTGTCCCTGGAGCCCCTCCCGGGCTGCCCTGTACAGCATCTGAGTAGACAGATGAAGAAGGTAGAGTTAGCCACCCCAGAGAGTTTCACAAGGGCTCTTTCACAAACGAGGCCTCTGATCCTGTGCCTCTCTCCCACAAGGAAACCAGCGCTTATGAAAGTCCCTTTCTGGAGCTTTCGAAACAATTGCTCACGCAGTCTGCATGTCCGAGTTTAGATGCAGGCAATGCCCTGATTATAAACAAGTCCTCTTCCCAAGTCTGTCTTTGGGTTGAAGTTATAAGTACGTTGGAACATTTAGGTACGATTTGTGTCTAATGCCAGTCAAGTGTGTGTCTCGGTATATAGTGGATATGCACACAGACTTTGTAGAAATATTTTCAGATGCATTAAAGCACGAACCGCTAGGTGGACCTCAGGACAGTCCACTGCTGGTGGCTGTGGCTGGCTTCTGTCACAGCGAGCCGGACAAGATGTGAGAGACATGTGCACCGGCAGAATGTGGCTCCTGACCTGCTGCTGTGCTGTGGGGACTTACAGGCGGTACACAGCTGTGCAGTCCAAGTACCACCACGCGATGACTTTTCACAGGTGGGGGGCATGAAGGGGCCTCAGACCCCGTGGAGTGCCCAACCACTGTGTTCAAATTCCCTTCTGCCTCTGGCTGACTAGTGGCCTCCCAGAGCCCTTGACTTTGTTCTGCATGGTGTCTGCCAGGCCTGGCCAGGCTCAGAAGCCAGTTTCACAAGGGATTTCCGCCGTGACCCCGTGTCCACCAGGACAAAAACCGCCAGTCCTTTGCCAGCCTCATATTGTTGTGGCTCCTGTGTCAATCCATTGCCTGGATTGTCGTCCCCTTGTTTATTCTGAGCCTTCACTTTGTCTAACACGAGGTCCTTTTCCCGAGACTGGCCTCTCTCCATAACATGGCCAAAGTACACAAGACTAAGTCCCTGCCACCCTCACTTCTGGGGAGTATTGTGGCTGCATCTCTTCCCAGACAGATTCGTGCCTCCTTCTTGCAGTCCACGATCTATCCAAGGCACTTGCCAACTCCATAATTCAAACGTATCCATTGCAGCCTGAGAGGAGTGAATTAGAATTCAGAGAGAGAAACTGACAGATTGAGATAGCTACTTTGTGCTTAATGGAACTCTGATCCTAGTTAATTTAATGATCCAGGAATTTTTATTGGGCGTCTTACAGAGGCTGATTTGAAACTCCTGGGTGGGAGGGGGTCTGGGAGACTGGGTAGATAAATCAGATATTCGTACCACCTCCCACCCTCCATTGCCTGTATCTAAAAGTGTACCTTCCCCAGAATTACGGGCTAGTGAAATTGTAGTTCGTTTATTTGACCACATAGGGGCAGCATACACAAACTCCCCCTTTAAAAGCAAGGCTGAGTTAGCTTTGCCATTTTAATCCCCACCGGCACCGTCTGAGTACAGGTCCTCAGCAATCCACTCAGGGAGCTGAATCTCCACGCCACTCGACCTTCATACCTCGTTCCATGTGCAAGAAGGCCCAGGGGCCTCTCACTGGCTGAAATGGAGGAAAAAGTGAAATGGTCAGGGGTTTCCTTCTGACTCGGATTAACCATCAACAGTCACAGATGCAACGGTCAGGAGATAAAACATGGTTTTACAATTGCGCAGAGAAGCTGCAAAAGCCTGCTTTCAAAGCTTTCTATAAAAAAGCAGAGATGACACTTCGATGACTAAGTTGCTCCAGACCCAAGCCAGGGCCTTTGGAATCGCCTCCGTCCAATGTGTGGCGGGCAAAGCTGGGCGATGAAAACTGCAGGCCCAAGAAGGACGGATGCGGCCGAACTGCC